AGACATGAATTACTAGTTATTTGAATATTGATTAAAGACAATGAATTGAAGAGGAATTTTAATGCAAATGTATTTTTGACATATTTTACGGCTATTTTCACACATTTATTAAATGAGAAACAATTGATTTTGTTTTTACTATCGATAGGACTTATGTTTTAATACTAATTAAAAGTGGTTTTAATGAAACCCAAAGAGGAGGCGATGAATCATTCAGATGGCGGTGATGTCGATGATCTCAGTGACGACCCCTCATCTCCAGAAAGTGCATCTTTCGATGACGGAGACCTCTTGGGTGACGTACACGACGATATCACAGCACAATTGGCTGCTGCCGGTCAGTCCCTTACCAGCATTTACACCACTCCTTGTGAGATGACTAACAATTGGTTTGTGTTTGTGATGAATGATAGGTCCAATTGGTGTGGCGGCCGCCGCTGCCATCGCGTCCGCGAAGAAGCGGAAGAGACCTCATTCTTTCGAAACTAACCCATCCATTCGGAAACGACAACAAACTCGACTTCTCAGGTCTCACTCTCTTTGAACCACATTTTGAATTTGGATCCAAACTAATAGTGTGTTTGGTTTGTATAGGAAGTTGAAGGCGACGATTGATGAATACACAACACGTGTGGGACAACAGGCCGTTGTCCTAATAGTCACTCCTGGAAAACCTCAGAATAACTTCAAAGTGTTTGGCGCCCGTCCTCTGGAGAATGTGGTAAGTGTTTGTTGTGGTCTGTGATTGGGCTCTGGATGTGATGCTGTGGTGTATGACAGGTGCGACACTGCCGGTCACTGATAATGCAAGAGTTGGAGAGCGCATTAGCACAACAGGCGCCGCCTCAGGTCAAAGAAGACCCATCTCTGCATGAATTGCCGCCTCTAGTCGTGGATGGGATCCCCACTCCGGTGGAGAAGATGACTCAGGCACAGCTCAGGGCTTTCATTCCTCTCATGTTGAAGTACTCGACGGGCAGAGGAAAGCCCGGTTGGGGCAAAGAGTCCACTCGCCCTCCCTGGTGGCCAAAGGACCTGCCCTGGGCTAACGTCCGCAGTGACGCCCGCACCGAAGAGGACAAACAAAAAGTATAGTTCCATCAATCACTCGCTCTACCAATTGTGCACTCATTCATGTCTTTGAATTGCCCTCAGGTCTCGTGGACTCACGCGTTGAGACAAATTGTAATTAATTGTTACAAATTTCATGGAAGAGAAGACCTGTTGCCGGCGTTCAGTGATGACGACGACAAGACCAATCAGACCAAAGAGAAGGTGAAAAGTCGAAGCAGCCATAGCAGCATCCATGTAACCAATGTTACCAACGCTAGCGGTGTGGCCACTGTTTCCACATTAACCGCTGAGTCTGCCCTCCAACAGGGGGTCAACGTATGTCTGATAATCAGTTTGCCTCTGAAGACTAGTCGGTCTTTAGTTATCCATTCAGTTGATTGAATGCACGGATAGTTTTGATATGAAATTTCAAATAATGTCTCATTTATTATTAATTTTGACAATTTGTAGATATTTTTAGTTTGATTAAGCATTTGAATGATTTGTTGTGAATTATGTTAAACATTAACGACATTTGATTTGATTTTGATTGTGTTTGCGTTACTTTTGATGCTATGGTTTTGCTTTGCATTTATTATTTTAATTTTTACTGTAATGTGTTTGTATTGTCCGAACATGTATTTGAATGATTTATATGATTTATAATGATTTGAATGTTTGATACAACAGGCGATTTACGCGCAGCCCATGCACTACGCGCCCACAATGTTACAGACCATCAGTAATCCGGACGGAACTGTATCTATCATTCATATGGACCCGAATAGCGCTGTCGTCACGTTACCCGACGGAACTCAAGCACAAGTTAGAGCCGTTAGTGCACTGAGGGTTAGTTTCGCGCATTTGATGGCTTAATATGAGATGAAATAATGATTTTTGTGTAGATTCAAAACACGGGCAATGAGGCGAATCAAGCGGTACAGACGTTAGCAGAGATGGGTCAGGAACACGACAGAGTCACTCAAATCGGAACCGTTAACGTAGATCTCAGTGGCGACGGCTCCACACAAACGGTCTCATTAGCCGAGGCAACCATCAGTCCCGACGGACAGATCATATTGACCGGAGAAGACGGAACTCAAAGCAGTAAGTGTTTTAAAACGCGACATGTTTTTATGGAAATAGTTTGTAACGTATTTACATTGTTTGAACAGCATTTCCAGTCTCAGGAATGGTTACAATTCCGGTGTCGATGTATCAGACAGTAGTGACAAACATCCAGAATCTGACGGAAGCGGGACTGCCGTTGACGATGAGTGCTATAACGGGTTCGGCACAGTTGCAGGAAGTGGGCGAAGACGAGTTGAACGACGCCAGCACTACAGTCAATATGGTTGAGGACGTGAAGACTGTTCTGAACGGAACGCAGACCTCAGTTGGGGTGACCGAAGAGGAGAGTTAATGATTTGCATGAAATGACTGCCCATTACCGGCATTATCTCAATGTACAGATGAGTCGCGAGATTTAGTCTCAAAGTGGTGTCATATTTAGTTCATTATCGCAATCAATGTTCTCTTAATTATTAGGATTAGAAGTTTATCCCAAACCAACGCTTGTTATAATGATAGTGAAGTCGTCTCCAAACTAGTGTTAAATACCTATTTTAGTTTACTTTTGATTATTTTTTGATTAAATTTAATTAAGTGTTGTTAAGGTTTATGACTTTGTACTCCAATGTACTTAAAAACTGCGATTAAATCTGAAATACAAATCCGATTCAAACACAGAACGCACTAAAGATATAATCATTGATTCATTTTTTTAAGTTAAAAATCATAACCTAATGTACTGTATATTTGAAGTGATATTATAATTATTATTAAGCTTTTAATGAGTTATGTCTTGAGTTTTGCAATTATTATAATTAATAGTGTATTTGAATTGCATGTGCTATATATTGAATATAATATATTATATAAATATATATATAAATATAAATTGTATATTATTTACGTATTTTGCGTCAGAATCTATTTAAACAAATCGTGAGATTTTTAGATTTAACAATATTATCGATCATTACAATAGTTTTTGTTGATTTAGTTTTTACTCTCAGTTTTGATCAAATAGAAACTGATTACTAATTTTAGTTATATTTCAATTATTGTCTTTTTTGTATAATTCAATGAAAAACGTGAACCAATATTACATATGATTGTATTGTTTGCCAAATCTCTGACGAGTCTTAATATTGTAAAACATTTTAAAAACATTTGTTTGTCTTTTTGAACAAAAAATTATTAACATTTACTTCACACGAAATAGAAGAGCAGAATATAATGTAATATCAAATTGAATTTAGTCTAAAGTTTGGACCATATTTTTAATGCTCTCATCGAAACTGTCTTTATATCTCATCATAACTTAATTGCATTATTATTGGTATTTGTTATCAATAAATAAATGAATAACCATTTAATTTATTTCATTCATCGATTCATGATTTACTCAAAATGTTTGTTTGTTTACACTTTAAGTGACTTTTCAAATAAAATCTAAACTTATGTCAGAATTTGAGTGAAACAAACATTAAACTAATTATTAAATTGTCCATGTTGTTGTTGTTAAACATTTATTTCAACTAATCCAACCCAAGCAACTTTTCTCATATGGCCTACACTACACTTGCCATTCAATTTGCCTCTAACGAGACGTAAGAGGTATTCCCCGGGGATTCCCTGTGAGGACAAAAAGTGGGAATTGAAAATGAGTTGAGTGGCGATCCGTCACCACATTTGCTGCGAATTCACTGCAAATATAGTTATAGTTATGTATTAATAGCTAAATAAACGAATCGGAAATGTCACTAAAATTAAGTTTTCTAAAAAGGACCATGATCATTTTATTATTAATACTATACCATATACAAAAAGTTTATAGTAATAAAATATGATCATATTACTGTTATGATGTTTGGGTCTATTTTATTCTAACATTTGCTGCAATAATTGGGTGAAGTTAGCAATTTGATGAATGAGCATGGTTATTTTAAGATACATCATTTTAACAGTAACTGTTACTGTGTAGTGTATTAATAGTGTAGCATGGTCAATTGAAATTGTGAATAAAAGTACACAATTTGCTCACTGTATGAATGCTGTGTTTAGTGTGTGCTATAGTGTAGTGAATGTGAGCAATAGGTGTCGCTATAGTGTGTCTGTATTCACGCCATTAATGCAATTGTATTGTTATTGCCATACATTTGTGGCCATTCATCGCACCGATGGTTATGTCCGCTAATTGTCACCCATTTTTGTGACATTTGAGTTACCATTACATGACTGCATCTGCTCTACCATAACGTAATTGAAGACAACGAAGATATGGTGACTTCCGAAGACACCAACACTTCTAATTGTTTGCCACAATTGGCTAACTCTTCACCGACTCTTACACCGCAAGAGTTGACACAACTCTCAGATATAGACAGGTATGGCATAACTCATGAGTAATGGTAGATATGAATGGATTGATTGAGTGATTGTCTCTTTCAGTCGTTTGTTTGGAATCCTTCGTCTGGAAGAGCCGGCAAACAGTAAAACAAAGTCATTGATCACAAAGGTATGGATCAGTTGTCGATACTATAGTCAAGTGACTCATTGGTATGTCTTATGATTAGGCCATAAAAGCACTGGAAGTGTCTTTACTTAAAAGACATCTATTGCTGGAAAAGTATGAGAAGAATGCGTCGGAAGGGACGGACGAAAAGGCTTTAAATGAGTTGAAGTCGAATCCAATTGATCCCCGAATTTACTGTAAAATCGGAGACTTTAACCTTCTTTTAGGAAATTATACCAAAGGTTTGTAATGTTTGTAAAGAACTGATTGTGAGACCAAATCATAACAAATTGACTAAATGTGCGGATCTGTTGTACAGCTCTCTCAGCTTTTCAGAGATACTTCTCGTTAAACGAAGAGCACTGGAAAGTGAGTGTCAAGTGATTTATTAAAAAGTATTGATATTAATGTCTTAAATGGTGTCTCAATTGTAAAGGATGTGCCGTTTGTGTTCAGTCTTGGTTTGGTTTACTTTCACTTCAACGCCTATCACTGGTAAGACATTTGCATTTCATATTCAAATTATATTCAAATTATGAAATACTATATAATTGTTGAAAGTATTGCACAAATGAGTGAGAATTGAATGCAATTTCCTGAATGTCGTAATAAGTGTTCATAGAATTTAACTATACCTTAACTATTGGTATAATACTCTGTAATACAGTACAGCATTATTACAGCATTAGTTGAACACATTATCAGTGTTTGTGGTGTTTGAAAGTGAGTACTGGCAGTACTGGCAGTGACCGAGTCGTCCGCTCGTATGTGTTTCTCACAAACGCTTGAATTGAGCAGAATTTGAGGGAAAGTCTCTGCTTTCTGATGGGTTGGTGAATGTGAGTGTGAGTGCACTCACTTTGGCAACAGTGAAACGCTTGGAGGGCAATGGGAGCTGAGGGCGGCGTTTACAGCGTTTACAGCAATGGTTTTGCTTGTATTTCGTGCGAGTATTGTGTATACGATGTGGTCGTCAGACGCGATGAGTACAGCTCTCACTCTTTGTGTTTATACACATATAGTATTGGATTGAGAGGAGAAGGAGAGCACTAGTGAACGGCCAAAGGATGTGCTGTTTGTTGTGTACGTGAGTGATGTGAATGTGTCTGTGCTCTTGGTCTTAGTCTCAATTTACAAACCATTTAAATGCCTTTCGTTTACGTTTACATAAACTGTTTTTGAGTGAAAACTACAAGAATTAAAGGTAAATATGAAGTTATCGTAAGAGTAGTGGTATTATTATTATATGTGATTATATGAGCGCTGGTAAGACCTGCTAAGGGGTGACTGCATTGGCAGAGACTTGACTGACTTGTGAGAGAAATGAGAGGTTATTCGCCTTAACATAGTATTTGTCTTTAGGCTCTTTAATGCCCTTGGATTGCATGAATTGCATGGACTGAATGCCACTCCAAGACAGCTGCAATCGCCGATACAACTGTCCACTCTCTCACTATTTTACATTGTTTTTAGCTTTTAATTCAAATTATTTGTCACTTTTAGAGCATTAATTGTTTGTAATGAAGGACTCAGTGATTAGAGCCGAGCCTTAAATGATTTGGGAATAGTTTTTATGGGACGGCTATAACCTTAAACACTAACTCGAGTCACGTATGCCTCGAAAGTGTGTGGAGTAGAGCAGACCTGTCATAAAGACACTGTGCATAGTATGCATACAACTGCTTATACACCACATCTGCAGCTGCTATCAAATAAAGAGGCCAACAAAGGAAAGGGTCTCAATTGCTGGCCCTCTCCTCTCCACTATCGGGACGTTTCTCAATATTTATAGTTATACTGTTTTGGCCTCACATGTGGTGACGATTGTCTTATTGATAGTCTGGTCCACCAGTATTTCAGCATTTCTCAGACAAGTGTCAAACTGTCAGCTTATGGGCCACTTGTGACCGTTTAGTGCCCCCCTATATGTGGCATCGCTTTCTCCCATTCCGGACCCTTCTCTGCCCTAAAGCCTTGTTGTAAATAAATATATCAGTCCTTGGCTTTAGACGTGGACTCTCTTTACTTATCAGCACTTAGTTTGTGTCGTCCATCACTCGTACTGTGAATCTAAATGTATTTATTGCTCAATAGTGTCCATCACTGCCCATAACTGCCAACCATTATTGTGTTCGTGTCTTACCTTCAAGTGTTGACCATTTCTTTGTGTCCCAATTGGATATACATAACCAAAATTGTTAACCAATAATATAAATGAATTAATAAATGTTTAAATTGTGATTTGAAGGGCGATTAAAGCTTTCCGTCAAGTCTTATACATCGAGCCATCGTTTCCGCGAGCAAACGAAGCCCACGTCAGACTCGCTCTCATATTCAAAGTTCTTAATGATTATAATCTATCGCTTAAGGTATGTATAAAACACGCTAATTGTTAACTCGTGGACTCAATTCAAATGTCTTCACTCCACAGCACTTCCATTTAGCACTCAATGACTCTAATGTGTGTTCAGTCAGCAAATTAGAGAGTATGTAAACAATGCTTTATTTGCTTTAATTATATTGTAATTGTAATGAATGTGTTTGAAATGACAGTCCAGTTCCATATCGCACACCTCTTTGAGATTCAGGGCAAACATAAATTGGCAAAAGAGTCGTATGAATCGCTTCTCGAAGAGAAGGACTTGACTGTCCAGTTGAGGGCAGATATATATAAGCACTTGGGTTGGATGCACCACATCGTCGACTCTTTGGGAGACAAACAACGGCGACAGTCATATGCTCTGAATTGCTTGAAGAGTTCCATAGAATCGGATCCCAATTCTGGACAGAGTCTCTACTTCTTAGGACGTTGTTATGCAAGTTTAGCCAAAGTTCACGATGCGTTCATTTCTTACCGTAATTCTGTTGACAAAGCCGAGGCCAACGCCGACACCTGGTGTTCAATAGGGTTTGTCCTAACGATTGGCGCATATTTTTGGTTATAAAACCAATAAATGATTTCTATTTGATAGTGTATTATATCAGCAGCAGAATCAGCCTATGGATGCACTTCAAGCGTATATATGTTCAGTGCAATTAGATAAGAGTCACTGTTCCGCGTGGACTAATCTCGGCATCCTTTACGAGAATTGCAATCAACCACAAGACGCGCTTAAGTGCTATCTCAACGCTTCCAGAGGCAAAGGTATGTCATATAATTGATTTTAAATTAGTTTAAAACAAACACATTAAATGATATCCATTGGTATTGTCTTAATGATAGGCACACTAATCACTGGTCTCTCAGAAAGGGTTAAGTTTTTGCAAACACAGCTCTCGAATGCACCGCTCAATAGCACACAGAGGTATTGACACTATTAATGACATATTATTGCGATTATATGGCACTTAACTGAATGGTGTGCACCTGTATTACAGCCCAAAGTCCCTGCCCTGTATAGAGGATGCCTGGAATTTCCCCATCTCTCAAGAGATGGCTTCGCGACAAAATGCATTCCAACGACAGAATCAAGGCTTAACCCCAACCGAAGACTCCTTTTCTAACATTAAACGTCAAAAACTGGAGGGCCCCTCAAGAATGCCCGTTCAAGTGAACACCGCTCCCACACCCCAGTCCCCCCTCTACCTCAACCAACAACACATGCAAATCATGAATTATTTGCAACAAAATCAGGTCTGATTCTCACTCTAGCCTTAAGTCATCATTTGAGCTAATTTTTGTCATTCATTTCAGGCAAACCTAAGCCCACAGCAGAAAAGTTTGCTTCAGCAACAATGTCGTCTCATTTCGCAACAAAAACAGATGTCATTATTAAAACAGCAGTCAATACAAGGACAGACACCCGTGCCTTCTGCTCCGACGGCTCCATTTCCGTCAACAGATCCCACGAACTCACTCTCAAGTGAGGATTCAATGGCCGTACAGTTCAGACCTCCACTGAACCAAAGTATTCCGCACTTGCAGTCGGCCTCTAAAATCACACCACAAAGTGTTCAGCAAAAAATTGGTTCGTCCACTGCTGGGGACGACCCAAACCATGTACTCAATCGGACCGGCGTTTCCGGCAATTCCAACGTTTCGTTCAACGATCAGGAATTGCAGTCATTGTTATCACAACGAAACGCAACGACGACTTCGATGACTGAAGACCTTATTTCTCAGTTCAGCTTCGGGTCAGACAATAATCCGACTCAAACCACTCAATCAACTCATTCTAGTCATAACAACATCACTGCCAACACCAGTAGTGCCCAAAACAGTTATATCAGTACTAACAGCGACCTATCGATCGCTTCATTCTTGTGTTCAGACAATTCAAAACTCAAAAGTGTCGACAATTCGTTGACATCTTTAACATCACTTCCATTTTCATCGACTTCTAGTCAGAATCAGCCGCAGCTCAACATAAAAATGGCCGCAAAAGAGATTATCAACGGTTGCAAGAAACTGCCAAAGAATGTACGCATTGTTTCTAGCCTTCTATCAGATGATGGTCGTCCTCCTATTCCTCCGGATCCACCCTATCCTCCATTGCCTAATGATAAGCTGCATCCGGCGGCGCCCAGTGTTTTCGTGAGTCATTTAAATCACTTTAAATCAAACCTTTGCTATACTTATGATATTATAATTTTGATGAATAGCTGGAAAACAAAAAGGAAGCTTTTTCTGCACAATTACATGAGTTTTGTTTAGCACATCCTATCGCTGTCATCAGAGGACTGGCCAGTGTTCTTAAACTCGGTTTGTTTGACACCATTTGTAATATGATTATTAGATGATAATTGTATTATTGATTGACTATAGATTTGGGCTTATTTTCAACCAAAACATTGGTTGAGGCGAATCCCGAACACTTGATAGAAGTGAGGACTCAATTGCTTCAACCGTCTGATGAGAACTGGGATCCGGAGAGAAGGCAAATGGTGTGGAGATGTGAAAGCCATCGCTCGCATACGACAATTGCCCGCTACGCCCACTATCAGGCCTCCTCTTTCCAGGACTCACTCAGAGAAGAACAGGAAAAAACGTTGGGATTGTTTAGGGATTCAGACACAGATTCAAACTCTTCCGCTCCGTCCAAGTAATGCATTGATTCGCAATTTTGGTTGCATTGAAATTAACGCCAAGTTTTTGTTACAACAGAGGAAAGAAGAGCAAAAGGAACGGCGCGTTTAAAACTGTTAAGTTTGGCACTAATGTCGACCTCTCGGACGAGAAGAAATGGAAGACTCAGTTACAGGAGTTGATGAAATTGCCATCATTTGCTCGCGTAGTGTCGGCCGGAAATATGTTGAGTCATGTCGGGCACGTGATTCTTGGCATGAATACCGTTCAGCTGTATATGAAAGTTCCCGGTTGTCGAACACCTGGTCATCAGGAAAACAACAACTTCTGTTCCGTTAACATAAACATCGGTCCCGGAGATTGCGAGTGGTTTGGAGTGCCCGACGAGTATTGGGGTGTCATTCAGAGGATGTGTGAAAAGTAAGCCATTTATAAGACTATTAGTCATTTGTATGTTTGAAAGTGAATTCAATATTAACTGTTGTTGTGTGTGGTGTCAGGAATAACCTGAACTATTTGCACGGCTCGTGGTGGCCAATACTCGAGGACCTGTTCGCAGACAATATACCCGTTTACAGGTTTCTGCAAAGACCGGGTGATCTGGTTTGGGTGAACGCCGGGACAGTACACTGGGTTCAGGCGGTCGGCTGGTGTAATAACATAGCCTGGAATGTGGGCCCTCTCACTGCCAAACAGTATATCTTAGCCGTTGAGCGATACGAATGGAATAAATTAGAGAATTTCAAATCAATTGTTCCGCTCAAACACTTGACCTGGAATTTGGCCCGAAATATAAAGGTCTCCGAAGACGAACTCTTCCAAAAGATAAGGTATGAAAGCATTGAATGGAATTTTTAATGTATTTTGTACTCAATTTTTTGAATTGATTTCATAATGAATAGACATTCACTGATGAGAAGTTTAAAGCTCTGCCAAATGACACTACAATATGTAGAGAGTGTTGGCCGTGAGATCCGATGGCACGGTCGCGGCAAAAACGAGGCAGCTCATTATTGCGTCAATTGTGAGGTATGTGACTCTCTCTCTCTCTCTCTCTCTCTTTCACTGAATCTAATGATATGGTTGTGTTTTTGATGGCTTAGTTGGAAGTGTTTAACATGTTGTTCGTGCGAGAAGTGGATAAGAAACATGTGGTGCATTGTCTGGACTGCGCCCGGAAGACGAGTTCAGCTCTGGAAGGGTTTGTCATTCTTGAAGAGTACACTTTGGATGAGTTGACGGAAGTGTACGACAACTTCACTCTACACGCCGTCAGTCCGACGTATACGTGATTGAAGTGAATGTCATTTACTTAAGTACTGCTTTGAAGCGAACATTTTGTGATAGAAATACTACTCTAATGACCAGAAGTGGTCACTCATTGGATATATTGACGACTGATAACTAAATCCAAAGTACAATAATTAGCTAATGGTTAGCGCTTTTCTATTATAGTGTCGGACATGATATTCAAAATATGTAATATATTTGAGGTAAAGGTTTACACAATACAGTTATTTATTGTATAATAAATGAAGATATGGTATAGAAAAATGTTTTAAATTAGGACTGAAATCACCACCATTTGAATCTTATGCTATGATTACTGCCATGTATTATATAATTAATAAGTTATACAATATTTAATACATTTTATTTTATAGTTTATTTGAATTCAAACTATTTTGTGATTATTTCTAATGACTAATACATTAGTAATGCACTCATCCATCGCTCCAATCATTGATTTTTAATTCATATCTTTTATAACTATTTAATTATTTTTAACCAATTATTACACAAAATATATTCATTGACTTAATTATGATTATTATTACTAATTATTTAATCTTTTGATTTGATCTCAAATATAGTTTATTTGTATTCATAATTCATTCGTATAATCATTGTTTTGGAAATTTTTCATTTTGTAATTAACTATACATTTAATGCTATAAATAATGTATTATTTATTTGATATAAAAAATTGTTTTTAATATATCTTTTATTTCCATGAATTTATTCAAAAAGTAAATAAAATGAATACACTTTGAAATAAATGTATTATTATTATTAATTATAATTATGTTTAGGTTGTTATGAATTCTAACAAGCGAACAATTAGTGGTTATAATAAAAGTAATCATAACTTATGTTACTAATTGTTACTACACTTCCAGTTCAAGACTTGAATTGCATACAAAGTTATTACAAACTATTAATTTAAGCGCAAATTATTAATTATAGTAGAGTTTGGAGTAAAAAATATTGAACAATCATTATTATATACTATGAGTATATATTGACAAATTTGGTTAATTTACGGATATTATAATACACTAACTATAGTTGTCAAACAATTTGATTCTAACTTACAAGAACTAGCAAGTTACAATTAGTTTTGTTCACATTAACTCCATCTATACATTGTGTACATTGAGTACATGATTACATCAGTTTTTGTCTAAACTTTACTGTTACCGGTATTTGAAATTCATTTGAAATGTTATCATGTGTTCAATTGACACGATTATAATTACAGTTAATTGTAAATATAGTTGTGGTTAACACTAGTCATACAATTAGCAAATGTATTGAATGTAATGACAAATCATTAACTGATGGCCCCATTGAAGGCAGTGGTGGGTCTGTCTGGAGGTGTGGACAGCGCTGTGACCGCACTATTGCTCAAAAGAAAAGGTCTCAAACTTAACCATCACTTGATTTGATCCAATATTTATTACATATGTATTTCATTAAAGGCTTTGATTTGACGGCTATTTATATGAATAATTGGGTCGAAGATAACGACCAAACCATTTGCCCAAATGATATGAACCGAGAGTTGGCTCAAGAAGTTTGCCATAAGTTGGACATTGAATTCAAAGAAGTGAATTTCTCTAAGAATTACTGGAATCATGTTTTCAGGTCTTATACTA